GTACAAGGATTTAGACTTTTACGTGCGTGTACGTGCGTATGAAAAACGCGTAAGTGGAAAACAGCCTTAAAGGTCGAGACACACCGGACGCGAACTCGACAACGCGACGCGAATTTTTAGTTTTCAAAAGTTGATAAAACACTCAATGAGAGAAGATTTCAAAAAATATGTCAAGCAAAATTATAGCGCGTCTAAATATATGTAGAATTTAAACCAGGATCAAAGTTATCGGTCAGCGCGCCGCGTTGTCAAATCGCGTCCGGTGTGTCTGGACATTACAATATCCATTCGCTTATATTCAATATTTGTCATATAAGAACCATATACTGGCATATAGGCTATAGCCGATAAACTAATGAAAAAACCACTCTAGATTGAAATGAGAACATAACCATGAGAACCATGTAGCCCATAAACAAATGAAGGACTCCTCTAAGATTGAACAATGAACGTTTATGCATCGCCTTCATGCATATGTATCTGTATAAAAGCAGAAAAAAAATATACCCCTGCTGCATATCCCATTTGTCTAGTACCTACAATATTCGTTCGCTTGCATATATTCATGCCCATATACTTATTGTTTACTATGAATTAAGTCATAAGAACCATATACTGATATAGGCGATAAATTCATAAAAGCACCGCGCTAGATTTACAATAGAAATTCATCGCCTTGATGTATATGTATCTGTCTAAGTGCGGGAAGAAATATATCCTTGTTCTAAAAATGTCTATCTTCTGTTCCGATCCTGCGTATACAATTTATACGTGATTAACAATACCATTCGCTTGGGTATATGAGCTATAATATATTCAATATTTGACATATAAGAACTATATAAGCTATAGCCGATTATAAAGATTGAGATGAGAACATTATCTGCTTTGAGAACCATGTAGCTGAATAACACATGAAAGGACTCCTCTAAGATTGAACAATGAACGTTCATGCGTCGCCTTCATGTATATGTATCTGCAAAAAACATGATAAAATATATCCCCGCATATCCCATTTGTCCAGTACCGACGGCTCTAATATTTTGTCCACTCCCCCAATTTTAAAAGTGACTTGATGATCGACTTTTGGCCCGGAAAACGCAGACATCCATCGGACAAACGGATACAAATCGAGATTTCGACTATACATAGTTCGGCGCGGAAGACTGGGTCGAATGAACTCTGGAGAAATCTCTGCCGTGTCAAGAACAGTGTGCTGCCTCGCTACGCTCAGCAGCAATTAATACTATGATATACTGTCCAGTGGGAAGCGGGCCGTAGAAATCTGCATGTACAGTTTGCCAAGGACCGTCCGGCGTTTCTGGAGTTAGTAAAGGCTGGGGTGGATCGGTTGGACCATTAATTTGGCAGAAAGCAGGTATCGATCTCTTCTTTTACAGCTTTATCAATGTTAGGGAACCAGGCATACTGACGTAACAAGGCTTTTGTTTTGACAAGTCTTTGATGACCGCTGTGAGCAAGTTTTACTATCTTCACTTGTAGAGTTCATGGTATTATATAATACGTGTTCCTCGGAGGATTACACCATTTGTTTGGTCCACTGTTATTTCATTTTTGATGTTTATGAATGGTTTTACATGACTGCTGCCCCAGTTACCAGACGCAACTGCTTCTCTTACTGCATTGAGACTCGGATCCTTTTCTGTATGTTCCTTGATAACTTGTATTGGAATTGTAGTTTGCGCGGCATTAGTCGAGATGAAGTTTATGTATTCTTCACCAAGATTGTGTTTTCGTATCTTTCGGGTTAACACTGCCTGGTTTGTAGATAACATTGAAATGGTATTGCTGAAGTCTTAGAAACGAACGTTCTATTCTAGCTGGAGGTTTGGACCGAGGATTGTTGTAGATCAACTGTAATGGCTTGTGATCGGTAATTATTATCATTATTATTAAGTCTTTACACATAAAATCTAGCCACAACAGACGTGTGACCTTACAATTTAAACTAACATATACTAACATATACAAAAATGGAATAGAATTATTAATGTACAATATCTATTATGACTAAAGTTATTAAAAGTCAATCCTTTAAGTTTTATTATTAAGATTATTAAAATTTAAGATTATTAAAATTAGCTAAAATTGTTAAAAAGACATCTATTTAAAAAATACTTTTTAAATCTTTCTGTTTCGACTTTGGGTAAAAAAAAATCATGTTCTCGTTCCCTTTAACGCTTTTTCCTTTTAGGTGGAAGTAGTTTGTATAAAGGGCGGTCCACGGGTTACTACATATTCTACCAAATAGGATTTTGTCCTTTTCCTCGATCACACCCATTATTCGAACACATTTTGTTGTGTATCCATATTTATATGCTCTCCGTAAAAATTGATCAATCCGTTCTCGATATTCTTCTCAAGGGCGGAACCCCATATTTCAATTCCAAAAGAAAACAGCGACATAATAAGGGCGTCGAAGAGAGTTTTTAACTGTTTTTTTGAGTAACCGTATGATCTGCACATCCTCAAAATGTACATTCGACTACTAGCTCTAGTTAGCAAATTGTCAACTTGAATGTCCCAACACGACGGATCATTTTGCAATGTTATTCCCAACAATTTTAGCCAAGACTTACGCTTAATACCCTCTATTTGGTTTGGCGGAGGATTTTTTTATTTAAGACTAATAACCATTTCCCAAGTTTTACCTAAATTTAATGACATTTTGTTTCTTTCTGTCCATTCTTTAATATTGTCTACTACAGCTATTGCGGAGTCATAATTCTTTCTCACTGGAACGCTGAGAGTCATGTCGTCTGCAAATTTGACTAGAATGTTGTTATGTGGATCTTTGACTGCCAAATCGTTCATCATCAGGGAGAATAAAAAGGAGCCAATAACTGTGCCTTGTGGTACTCCTTTATTAGTACCTACATAGTTCGTTTCGATCCCATTTAGTATCACTCTCTGTCTTCTATCTGTCAAAAAATTGACAATCCAATTTATTACATATGGGTTACTGGTTGTTTCTTGTAACTTTTTGCTAATAATACCATGAGAAACAGAATCAAAGGCTTTCTTTAGATCAAATGAAATAACTCTTACATGATCGACGTCGTTATCCAGCCAGTTTAGCCATTTATGGTGGCACATTATTAGAGCATCAGTTGCACTTGTTCCTTCTTTATATGCGAATTGATCACATTTTATTATTTGCTTTAATTCTGATGAGATCTCTTTCTTAAGAACTATTCTTTCGAATAGTCTCATTATTACCTTTGTGAGGGATATAGGCCTTAATTGAGTACATTCCGTAAGAGGACTTTCCTTAGGTACTGGGTTGAGGTTGGCGGTTTTCCATAAGAGGGGAACACATTGTTGCTCTAATGACATGTTGAATATCTTTGTTATAACTGGGACTAAGTATTTTGCAAAGTCTTTCCATAGCCAATATGGTAGGCCATCTGGCCCTGCCGATGTTTTCTTTTGTTTTTGCAAAAACCTTTCTACCGTGAATATATCAACATGTGGTACTCTAGTAGAATTTGGTATAGGGGCGATTTCCGGAGATGTGTAGTTGTCATCTGTATTCATCGCCTTGAAATAGCTATTTATGACATTTGGATCTATATCTATACATGTGTGGTTCGCTTTCCTTCCAGTAATTTTATTTACTGTGTCCCACCATTTCTTCGACCCGGATACATATTTTCCATTTGTCTTCTTAACTGCTCTAATCATGTTTTCTCTGATGAGCTTATTTATTTTCCTTTGTAAGTCCTCGTTTATTCCTTTCCTTGCGCTTTTATTACGCATATTGCATAAATGTTTTACCAGGGGAGACATATAAGAAGGATCATGTGTAGATAATTTTACTTTGATTAATGGGAAGCTTTTGTTGAATGCCGAAGTAATAATATGATTTAGATTTTAGAAGTACAACTGATTCGTTCAAATCTCTACACTCTTCAATGCAGTTCCAGTTCTGTGCTTCCAGCTCTCTCATCATAGCAGATTTTCGGTGGTCTCTTGCATCTCTAAAGTAAACTGATTTTCTCTCTGGTTTATTTGCTTCTCGCGGAGTTGTTATAATGGTCAAATGGTCTGATTTTACCAGACTATCGAGAACTTTAGGATTTTTCCATAAATGTGGACAATTAGTTAGAAGTATCTTGTGACCTCTTGTAGGTTTTTTTACTATTTGTTCCATATTATGTTGACTTATGATGTCCTTTATCTTTAGTTGATTTATATTTCCTTCATTTATAATTCGGGCATTTGATTCACACTGGAGGATTTTCTCAATACTCTCTGATATACGATTCAGTAATTCGTTTTCTTGATATGTCGGATCCGGGGGGTGGTACACGGCTGCAACATAGTATTTGCTATTTGTCGTCTCAATTTCGCACCAAATGCATTCCAAATTATTTCGGAAATTTAGAGGCTAACACTTCCAATCTTTCCGATAAATTATAGCAACACCTCCTCCATTTCGGCCATCACAGCGATCTTTTCTGATGATTGAAAAATTATTTGGGCATATTAGTGTGATGGTATCTTGTCGTGCAACCATGTTTCGCACACAAAACAAATATCGATTTCCCAGGTACGAAGCTCAACATCTAACTAAATTAGGTTGAAAGGTGCACCGAACAGGTAAAGGTGAAAATGTTCAATGCCCCACACGAGGGCTTCCCTCTCGGTTTGTGAGTACCGTTGTTCTACTGGGGATAATGCTCGGCTGGCATAAGCGATGGTGTTGTCTTCGTTTGTTTTGGGATCTTTTTGCGTCAATATGGCAGATAAACCAACGCGACTTGCATCCACCAGGATTGAGGTTTCTTTGGATGTATCGAAATGGCTCATAACTGGACTGTTAGTCAGAGCACTCTTTAGGTCTTCATATGCTTTCTGGTGTGTTGTCGTCCATGTAAGACGAGCGTTTTTTTGGGTCAACTTTCTGAGTTGCTCTGTAATGGTCGCATAGTTTTTGATGAACTTAGCGCTGTAGTTAGCCATTCCTAATAGACTTCTCACTTCACCGACTGTTGTTGGTGGTTTTGATTGGCGAAAGCGTCAACTTTCTTGAGGTCTAGACTAACACCTTGTTCTGTGAATACCAGTCCAAAGAACTCAAGATTCTTTTTGAGGAATTTGCACTTTTGTAGATTGAGAGTCAGGTTACTCTCTTGCAGACGTCTAAGTACTTCTTCTAACGCTTGGTCATGTTCCTTTCGAGTATTTCCAAACACGATGATGTCATCTGCGATGTTTTTAGCTCCTTGAATTCCTTGTAATGTCTCCTGTAGGGTGTGTTGGGTGAGTTCCGCTGTAGCATTTGTGCTGTAGTTTAATCTTTTATAGCGGTATAAGCCGAGATGAGTGGAGAAAGTTGTTATTCCCTGAGATGCTGCGTTCAGCTCCAGTTGATGGTAGGCTTGAGTTAGGTCAAGTTTAGAGAAAAACCGAGCTCCGTTAAGCTCAATAGAGACAGCTTCTAGAGTGGGTATGGGATGTCTAGTTCTCTGAATAGCTGTATTTGCTACTCGCATATCTACGCACAATCGAATCTTATCGTCACGCTTTGGGACGACGACGACGGGGAAAACCCACTCCGTTGCAACTCCTTCAGGAATTCTCTCAATGATGTCATCCCGTTCTAATCTGCGTATTTCATCTTCAATTTTTCCGCGTAAATGGAACGGTGCTCGGCGCTGCGGTTGTGCAACTGGTGAAATGGTTTCATCGATAACTAATTCGATTTGTTTGTTCTTTAGTTTCCCAAGTCCACGGAACACAGGGCCATGTTTATCTAGGATGCGTGCGAGGTTTTTATCGCTCGTTGTTGGTGTGATTTTTTAACGTTCTGTTTCCTTGTTTATCTGATTTAAATGAAGACTTACGAGCCCAAGTTCTTGTGCAGTTTCAGAACTAAGTAAACAACCGCCGTCGTCAGAAGTAACAAATATGGTAGCTACCCATGAATTTGTGTTTCGACTCTGCTAAAACGCGGAATTTTCCTTCCATCTTCACAGGTGTTGTGGAATTGAAGGGATATGCTTTCACGGATGTTGGCTGAAGTCGGATATCACGCAGTTGTTGGAACGTGTGTTTATCGATTACATTTATGCTTGACCCCGTATCAATGGTCATTTTTACTCTTTGTCCATTGAGAGAAATTGACGTTTGCGGATGTTTTTGTTTGTTGTTGACTGGTCGTAGGTCTTCGCGTGGATTACCAGTTTGTCTATTTTCTCGCTTGCTGCTACTGCGGCACTGGCTAGCAAAATGGTTTAATTTACCACAATTGGCACATGTCTTGTTTTTGGCAGGGCACGGTTTGTTGGTGTGAGGGTAGCTGCAGCCACAGTAAAAACATGTCTTATTGGATGTCTTGTGTTTTGTTTGTTTCACGGTCGGCGTTTTAACTGCTTGAATATTGCAGCTGTCTAAATGTCCTTCAATGTCAGCTGCTCGCGTCTTGCTTATTTCTTCGCAACTGGCTGCGAGCAGAAGATCTTTTAAAACATACTTGGGGTCTCGCAACGCTTGTTTACGCACGCGACTTGACTTTCCTCCAATAACAATTTGTACCATAATTTCGAACTTTACATCTGAAAACTCACAGTTTTTTGACAGCGTTCGTAGACGCGTGTGGTACTGATCTATCGTTTCCGTGTCGCTCTGTTGTGCTTGTCGAAATTTGTAGACTTCGTATAATCGATTTTTTTGAGGCTCGAAGTATTCGGTGAGAAGTTCCGTCGCTTTATTGAAGTCGTCATCGTTACCAGGGTCTGGAAAGTGTCGAAAGATTTCCCGTATTCGCTGTCCTGCTTGGTATAAAAGTAATGCTCGTTGGCGTGTCTTGTTTGTAATTTCGCTCGCCGTTAGAAATATTTTGAAATCTGCTAACCAGGTACGCCATTTAGCCGCTATATTTCCTCCCGCGTCAGCATCAGGGTCAAACGGTGGCATAGGCGCGAGATATGTCCCCATTATAATATGTTTTAATCACTTGTTTTACACTGCATGAAAAACCGCGTATTCACAGGTGAATACGTGCGAATATGAGTTCGAATATGGTCCATATTCACACGTATTCACAGATATTCACTGTGAATATCCTCGGAATATTGGGGGTATTCCGATGTGAATACCTGTGAATAAAACACACCGCGTATTCTGACCTAGAATACCTTCGAATACTCTGTGAATATTTTTCAAGACCAAGTATTCACACTTCGGCATACAAAATGTGATTGTACGCATGAATACGGGATAATCAACGAGTTATATTGTGTAAATATTGCAGGAAATGCGTTTATATACCACGGAATAGGCAAAGATTGTTTCAGTTCAATGCCGGTGTCAACTGTTGTCCAGAATTTCTTCTCATCACGGTCACAAATTGAAATTGCACTTGATTTGTTTAGGCGACAGACAATAAAGAGAATAAATGTTACCAAACGCACGATGATTTTTATTTGATTAATTTTTTTGCTGCCGCAGGGATGTCGAGTATCGTATATCCTCAGTCGATGAGCGCTGAGTAGCCTCGTAAGTCGTAAAAAAGCTGTATAAAAAGAGAAATATCCATCAATTTCTTTAATTACCTGTGTAAAAGAAGTTATATATAAAAAAATACTTTTATTTTTGCTTGGATACGTAAACACATGGGTAGAAAGTTGATGATTCTGTATCGTCAAAAGCATCCGTAATATATACAGTTCAGTGTTGGGAAATCGTAGGAAATTTCCTTTGGGAAATTTCCTCTTCGACATGTTAGTGACAATTTTTGCGCCAAGGAATTGCGGCGAAATTGCGAATAAATGGCGAAATTCGGAGGTCGTATAACAATAACAAATAAATGTCTTTAAATGATTCCTCGCAAAAGTTGTCAGTTCCCTACAGTTGTCCACTTGTGTTTACAAAACGATAACATGGCACAAATGTCAATTGGTTTCAACCAGGGCGCTTATATATAATGCGTGGTTTCAACAGAAGTTCAAGCTGTTCAACTTTGAATTGTTAAAGATGTTCGCGATGCCCCAAAATAATTCTTGTGGCGGCGCTAAAATCAGGTAAGTTATTTAATAATAACAAGAGTTATGTCATACTATAGTCCTGAAACAACACAACACAACAACAATAGTGCGAGGCCAACGCTTTTACGGCTGGGCTCATCACTTTTTTTGTTTTTATTAATATAAATAGATTACGATTGTGTTTATTGTAGCTAATTTGTACACAGCTAACTGTACCTGCTTGTAAATAAATAAATTGTATGATGGTTTTCATCAATCCTACCTCCATCACACACTAATTATAGTAGGTACAAATGTTTGCCATTTCAAAGCCATACTCAACACAAACAAAATTTAAAAGTTTGCCAATACTGAAAAGGGACATTACTTTCTTACCTACCACAAATATTCAGAAAGCTGCTGTAATCATAACTTTAACATAACATAACCCTTAGATAGACGTTTCAAGATGCATTGAAATGAGGTGCATTGGTGCATTTCATGAGGGTTTTTTATATTTTAGGCAAAATTTATATATTATAGATATATATTGTTATATAATTGTCACAGAATAGCTAATGATTGATTGCCAAAAGATTGAAATCTTAACAATCAGCTGCCCAAAGACAGAAATCTTAACAGCTTAGAAATCAAAGCCAGACTGTGTTTTTTAGTTATATATAATACATATTTTTTAACAAAATAATGGCCTATATTTTTCCTTTTAGCATATATGAATTATATTTACACTAATATTTACCACAGAATAGCTATTGAACTGGTTGCCAAAAGATAGGAATCTTAACAACCAGCTGCCCAAAGACAGAAATCTTAACAGCTTAGAAGTTCATGCTAGACTGTGTTTTTAAGTGAAGCCTTTTAACATTGCCCTCATCATAATTTATAACTGAGACTGTTTACTGATTTTTTGCAATTACTTTTCCGTACATAAATTATAATCACAATACTTAAAGAATATACCATTAAAGTGTAGATGAGTTTACTACAGCTTCTCGATGTTTGCATACTAGGAGTAGCTATGTGTATATACAGCTTTAAGTTCATGGAAGAATTTGTTTCCATTTTTACCCTAATTGATTAGCTTCCAAATTATATGAATGGTGTGTACATTGTACATTGTACATATACATTCTCCTAGGAATATTATAATTTCATTACACTGCATAAATTCTATGCACAACAATAAAAACAAATGGCCATGCATGCAACATCAGCTTTTACCATTATCATTAACCTTTCGGATAATAATCTATTATAGCTTAAGAAAGTTTATATGTATTTTGTTCAATAATTGCTTTAAGGTGGTTTTAATTGTTTTTAGCCATCAGGGGTTGCAAGATTGAGAAAATTCCCAAAAGAGTTGGCCTTAACTTTGCTAAAGATGAAGAGGATTTTTCACCCAGTGAAAGAAGTTCCTGATTCATTATCTGCTCACCTATAGTTTTTAATATCTTACCAAGTGAAAAAACATCACTTGCTTTGCTCAACAATTTACTATTAAGTATAATTTCTGACATACTCCAGGAGCAATGTTTCATATATACTAAAAAACATTGCTTATAAATTAACAATCAGCTGATGAAAGATTGAAAATCATAACAGCTTAGTAGAAGTTCATGATAGGCTGTGTTTTTGCTACATATTTTTGAACAATTTGTGATGTTCCAATAATATTTTATAAAATGTGAAATGTTGTAACCCATCACATGTACATGATCTGTTAAGGACTGTATAAAATTTAAATAATTGACTGAAATCTTAGTATTGCATTTGATCAACCTTGATAAAACACATTAACTGTGGATAAACCTACCATTGCAATGTGTATGACTGCTATTCAAATTAACATGGCAACCTAAAGATTATGCATGTTTGTTCATATTGATATTTTCCTTAATGGACAGAATTGAGGGACAATAAATGCCTAAACATTCGCACAGGCTGCGAACGCATAACCCATTAACCTCTTATCACCAGGTAATTTGTTAATAAAATGTTGAGATTACTCCCAACATGGTCATAGGGTATAGTCTATAGGCCGGCTATTGAATTCAACTGCGCGATATTTAGTCACTCACCGAAGAGGTCCCTTACGCACAAACAGTATATGCGTTTTCGGTTTTGAACAATAAAAAATCCTTCAAATACGGTTAATATTCGTTATCATTTTACACTTATTAGCGAACATAAGGTGCTGTGGAAATCGCGCCATGCAATCTCATTTCTATTTCGCGCATTTTCTTCATCAGACTTCGTGGGAATCGTAGCATACAAATACTCGCCGGCATGCTCTTTAACTGCGACCAGAGTTTCCAGACTTTACCAAGCCCTTGGCATCCTTCACTCTCTTCCCTTATTTATAAGCGCCAAAAAGATTTCTTACAGCCACAAACGCACGATCTCCTCGTTCAATGTTTATTAAACTCGAAAGCGCGCTTTTTGGTTTTTGCGCCAATTATTTAATAAAATTCCACTTCAATTTTTCAGCATTCAAAATAAAGTTTAAAAATGTCAGCTGATGAATTTATTTGAGGAAACACGGATTAAGTGAGAAGTGAGATATTCCAAGTGTGAATATTGGTCAGAATACGCGGCATATTCACGGCGTATTCACACTTAGAATACTGAAGAATACGATGCCGTATTCACACTAATATTCCATGTCGGAATACGCTTGCAATATGTGTTTTATTCACACCCGTATTCACATGTGAATACCTTGGAATACGGCGCTTTTCATGCAGTGTAGTCTTCGTCGCCAATGTAATTTTGCTTGTTTCTTACGCTTTCTCTATGTATGTTTCTATATCTCTTACATAACTAGACCCCCCCCCAATTAATGTCAATCAATCCCTTAATCAATATCAAGTCTATATTTAGCTATTACTGTCCGTGTCTATATATATATATATATATATATATATATATATAATATATTATATATATATAATATATATATAAATATATATATTATATATATATATTATATATATATATATATACATTAAAATAATATTATTATATTATTTAATAATAAGTAGTGTTTATTACAGAAAACATGTACCATTTTCAAAACAGCAGGAAAACGAGTGCTGTTAGGACATTGCATTAGAGCATTCTGACAGCTTTGTTCATGTTCCCTGGAAAACAACAGAATTATTAGATGTGAATCCAAGGGCACTTTGAGGTCTTTGCTGGTGTTTGATAATTTAAATGCTGACACTTACTGCTTGAATTCAGTTTTTCTTTGACTGGGCAACCTGTATAACAGAAATGTTTATAATTAATATTATAAGCAATTAGTAGTTTTAAACTACAATATTTTACCTGCAGAATTGACTTCATATTTTCTTTCATCTGTTGCAGAAGGCATACAGTCATATTTACAATGAACTAATAACTCACCAATCTGTTCCAACACCTGAATGAACGTGGTTTAAGGTGTGAATGATTTAGAGATGTTTGAGAGTTGGACTTCAATTTGCACAACCGATATCCAATTAAAGAATGAACATGTCATGTCAATATATCGTACCGCCAAGTTCGAAACAACAACAACCAGGTTACTGTTGTCAACAGGACAATGTTCTCCCTTGTGAAGAAGAACACAGCTATGACAGAATGAATGCTAGAAAAATTTATCCAAACACAAATAATAAGTGAGCTGTCAACAAAGTTGGAAGAACAAGATGCATGAACTAACAAAACAAGATACATGTTTTTTTCATGCTCAAGTATATGGTAAGAGGGTGTGCCGTTGAAAGAAAATTTAAACTTACTCCACATGAAGTTATCACAGGATCGTTGGACACATCAGAAAAAATAATTTAAAACAACTTCTCAGAACGCTTGTCAGCAAAGACAACAATCTCCTGCGGAAAAAGATTCTCTTTGATGAACTATATATTGATTACAGTAAAACACAGACTAGTGACTAGTATATGAATATTT